AAACTGTAGAATACTGGTGTTGGGTAACAGGGAAGGACTAGGAGAGGAATGTACCTGTGGACCACCAAGCTGGAAGCCCTGCACACTCCGGTAAGAACACAGTGCTTGGTGAAGGTAGGCATAAACTTCCAGGTCGGTGCCGCAAACGATAAATCAGTGACGGTACAGAAGAGTAATTCTAGCTCCAGAGATGAAAAATGGCTCCAAACCAGCAATCTCATCACATTTTCTTCCTGTGGCCCACCATGCATTTGATCTTCACATGGACAGGGGCATTTTTCTGGATCTTCCAGATATCAGTACGATCTGTCTCAGGTCCTACATGAATGGTCAGGCCCTACCAATGTGAGATGAAAGAGCCTTCTCAACAGAGGGTGGGAAGGACTACTTTGATCTCAGAAACACAAGGTTTGTGGTGAAACCATAGCAATAGGTGTGCTTGTTTTCTGAACAAAAGTAATTCTGAAATGACCTTGGGAAATAATTCTGTATGGATCCACAAGGACACCTTCACCTGAGAGAATGTCATGCAAGGAGGAAAGCCACATTACCCTGGCTCAGCTACTTCCCTGTTTTCCTGTTGGAAGCAACTGTAACTTAGTTTTTGTAAAAAGACAGAACAGTGAGCAGGACTCTATGTTTCAAACAATGATCCAAAAAGCACTTGGAGAACCAAGCTCAAGTTCTCGTTTGGAACTGAATCCACAACACTGAATTCATACAAAAGAAAATATTAAGTCAGTTCTCAGGCTAGGTATAGATTCCTGCCAGCCAAGGTTCCCGTGTCAACTGCTTCCTGGCTGGTAGACAGCAACATCAGGCTACCCCTATGCGGCACACAGCACACTGTCCTAGTGTCCTCTACCACCAGCCAAGAAGCCCATGGGCAGCTCAACCAAAAGGCCTGTAGAAGGGATGCACCCATCACAACTGACCTAGATGAAAGAGAAGGATGCAAGGGTATTATTAAAAGGACAGATGCTGGGAGGTGTGGAAGATACACCAGAAGGCTGTGCTGCCATTCAGCGTAACCTGGACAGGCTGGAAAGTTGGGCAGAGAGGAACCTGATGAGGTTCAACAAAAAAAAGGCAAATGCAGGGTCCTGCACCTGGGGAGGAACAACCCCATGCATCAGTACAGGCTTGGGGCGGACCTGCTGGAGAGCAGCTCTGCGGAGAGGGACCTGGGTGTCCTAATGGACGACAGGTTGACCATGAGCCAGCAGTGTGCCCTGGCTGCCAAGAAGGCCAATGGCATTCTGGGATGCATTAAGAGGAGTGTGGCCAGCAGGTCGAGGGAGGTTCTCCTG